TTTTACTTTGAGTTTCCGGATTACATTTTTTTTTCTTTTTTTTTTTTTTCAAATTCCTATTTCATTTCTTTTACAAAACATGTTTTATTTTCAAATTTTATTTACAAACTTTTATTTTTTTCAAATTTTCTTGTGCAAAACTTTGCTTGAAACGATAATGGAACCAAAGTCTCTCCATAAGCATCCAGTGCGATGAACAAACAGGAATCAGCAGAAAGGAGGAGATGTTTAGATGGAACATCGCTGACCCTGAGGGAAACTCTGGAAAATGTCAGCCGTCACCGTGCATCCCTCTAATTAGACTGTATCCGTATGTATTTTAGGACATCATCTGCTGATATGGGCTCTGCTCAGGGAGACATGATGTATAAAGTCAGCTGTAAACCCAAAGGATTTCCATCATACAATAATCCAACCCTACAGAGATTATTTTTTTTCTTCCTAAAGGTTCATCCTCTGTTTTGTTTCCTCAGATCATCGGCCTATTAAACGTTTTCACACCACAGAAGACACTAGAGGAGTTCCAAGATGTGTGAGTATCACGTATTTGAGCGGGACGACAGTTTGATATTAATTAATGCTGATTTAATCTGTCAGCTTGTTCTTTTTAATAAATAAATGCGATAATCTTTAGTGCTTTTCTAGTTGGTATAAAATTCAGAAGGTGTGATAACCTAAAGCAAAAATATCAGTTTTACCGTATTTTAATCCCAGCTTTGTTTCTGAAATGTCAGAAGAGCGAAAATGAAAATAAAAAGCTGTGTAAACTGTGTGCTGATCTTCAGCATGATCTCTACGGTCATCCTGGACTGAATCTGCCAGTGGAAGCTGCTTTAGATCTTCTGCTGAAGAGGGCCTTTCATCTGAGGATTTTTGGGCCTAAATCAGTCAATACTGATCAGCAAAGTTTATACTGAACAACTAGTAGGGATGGAGACAAATAATCGACTTAAGGTTTTTGATTAATGGTTTTAGATTTTAAATTCATTCATTGTGATTTACTGCTCTGCTTTAGCTTGGTTTAAGCCGCGTTGAACAGGGCGCTAGGTCGCGCACCTCCGAATTTCTGGAGCTTGGCCCAGAGCGCGTGCACCAGCCTGGTTCAAAATGGGACATAAAGATGTTTTCAACTAAATATGCTGCCTTTACTGACATCAGATGGTGCAGAAGGTTCCAGTGGAACAGTGTGGTTAAATATGACTGAAAACAAAGAGAGAGGATTCTATTGGCCAGGCTAAAACTCTGCTCATTGGAAATCAGAAGAGTTTCATATATTTTATTCATCTTTTCTATTCAGTAACTATTAGGTTCCTGTTTTGTTGTGGTAGATTATTTGCTAAGTCAATTGATCCAATCAATCCACTTATGATCAATTAATTAATCACTGACTAGCATCCCTAATGACTTCATTTCTGCTGCTTGATTGATTTATTGCTGATTGATAGAACTTAACCTGTGATTAAGTCATGAAGGTTAGAGCTTAAAGTCATTTGTAGCTGCTAGCCTTCATGCAGCATCAGCAGGTTTTTGATTGACGTAACCAAAATGAGGTAAAGTCTGTGTTTGGTGGTAGGTGTGTGTAAACTTCACCTTCAGACATGAGCAGCATGGTTTAGGCCGAGCTGTCTTACTGAACATGTCCTACTGCTGTGGAGAGAATAGTGATGATGGAGTGATGAGTGTGAAACAGAGAGGCTGTCTTCCTGTATCGCTGCCCAGCTGACTGGATCCGGAGAGTTAAAAATGCTGCTGAGTTGGAGCATGAAGTTAGTGCCCTGTTGTTTGTTTACCTGAATGAAGACGAGTCAGCTGGCACGGCGTGTGAAGCAGCCTGGTTTAAGCCGACGTGTGAAGTTCATGCTTGATGCTAACGGGAGGCGTTTCCCTGCAGGTATCTGGTGATGGAGCTGATGGACGCTAACCTCTGTCAGGTGATCCAGATGGAGCTGGACCATGAGAGGCTGTCCTACCTGCTCTACCAGATGCTGTGTGGAATCAAACACCTGCACGCCGCAGGCATCATTCACAGGGTGGGTCGTCCTGGCAACCATGCCGGTCAGTCAGCTCTGAACATCCGCCTGAAACGGCCTGGAAACGAAGGAGCCTGTTCTGTCAGACCAGCATACCCAGAGTCAATACCCATTTATCCCTTTAATTCATACCTTTAATTTTGTACGAAAAATCAAGTTTAAACTACCTCGACAGGTGTGGATCCCTTAAGCGATCTGACTTTATTATATTTTTGAAGTAGTTTGAAGTTTATATTTCATACAAAACTAAAGGGATAAATGTAAATCTGATGTCTTGCGTATGCGTATTGACCATGAGTATGCTCATCTGACAGAACAGAGCCATAACCCCGCCCTCCCTGCTCATGTCGTGTTTCGTCCTTCAGGACCTGAAGCCCAGTAACATCGTGGTGAAGTCTGACTGCACCCTGAAGATCCTGGACTTCGGTCTGGCCCGGACCGCCGCCACCGGCCTGCTCATGACGCCCTACGTAGTGACCCGTTATTACCGCGCCCCTGAGGTCATCCTGGGCATGGGTTACCAGGCCAACGGTGAGTGATGGACAAGGTAGCAGTTAGCAGCTGCTGTTCGGCCCTACGCTCAGGGCGGGGTGGACTCAAAATGTGGGGGGCGCCGTTTGCTTTGCAGGGAGCTTCCTGTGTGAAGACGGTGACAGTGACAGCCCGTAGCGATTGTCCGTGGATAAAAAAAAAAATGACTCGAATCATCAATAAATGAATAAAGACGAAATCCCTCTTGCGTTTGTCAGCCAATGGTAGCAAAGGAGCGCTCTGAAACTAACAGTATTGGCCAATCAGAAGAAGAAGGGGGCGGGTCTTAGGGACGCTTGTACCTCCTCCTCTGGTTTCTTGCCTAAGCCGCCAGAAAGATTGTGGTTCATTGCTGAAGGGAAAGTCACCTTGCGTCATTTGCGGCTCCGTTCAACAGGGAGACATGTTAAAAGTGAAAAAATAAAAAAATGAAACTTTGTGTTTGTAGAGAAAGATGGAGAGAACAGAATGGCATAAAGTGGGTACAATGCAGTTTATTAACTCCGGCACGCTGTGCCCCAGGAAGCTTATTTACGCATCCAGCAGCAAAAAGGTGTTAGACCCTGGTCATCAAGCTGCTGACCACACAACGTTAGCCGGGAGCTACGGCAGCGGCTGATGTACCGGCGTCAATAGCTGACCGTTTGCTGCTTTACTCACCGAACACAACTTAGTCTTTAATCAGTCATGCAATCTCTGATCCCATGCTTCCACACCCTCCTATATACACACATGACTTTCTTGCTTGCCTCAAAAAAGTTCAGGTTTCGGGTTTTTGTTGCTTTAATCCCTGTTATTCTTTTAAGCCGGGCATACACTGTGCGATATTTTCAATCGTTACTTGCAGCTACAGCTCAAACTGTACGATGAAACTGCAGGGTTTAAAAGTTCCCAGCTCATGATGTTTGTTCTCACACTGTGCGACCCGACGCTCTGATACGATCTACCTGCTCACACTGTACGTCTAAAAACCAGGTGGGACTCAGCTCCGCAGTGAGATGGCGCTACTCTGTATCGTCTATCCGGAAGCCAAACCAGTAGAAGAGGAATATGAAGCTCACTAGAGTGAAACGCGCTGCCTTGGAAATTTGTGTAATTTTGTGCTGAAAGCCCTAAAAAGAAAAGTAGACGACATATTTGGACAAAGACATGGCTGAGCAAACGTGGCTACTACGGTCTGTCAATTTTACAGAAAGAACTCAATTTAACTCATTGCAGCCCCACCATGCTGCTGGGTTTACATCTTGGAGGAAGAAGAAGAAGAATCCTTGTTTGCCCACTGAGCGATTTGCCCACGACCACCTTACGACGGCTGTTGTGTTTGATTCTCTCCCGACCTCATGATTCATGATGGCGAGGTGGTTGTTAAAAGCTGATCGCCCCTTGTTACCCCCTGTACACTACACCACGCACAATCAGGGTAAAATTCAACACAATAGTAAAGTTCTCACACGACTGGAGAATCGGCCCGAAAGGACAAAAAAAAAATCATACAGTGTATGCCCGGCTTAGCCTGTGGAGTCAGTGAGCTCCAGTTAACATTTCCAACTGATCCAGTCTCCAGTTTAGCTGAAGATTGTTTCAGTAATTGATCAATCAGGATTAATGCAGCTTCAGTCTTAAAAATCAAGAGGAAAACCCTCAGAACTGCCAAATATGGTCATCCATGTTAGCTAACTAGCAGCGCAAAGAGGAGACAATCTGAGGACGGGACGGATTTATGGGATAACTTCTTATTTTAAAAAAAACTTTTCATTCTAGTGGAGTAAAAATAGGATGAAGTATCACTTCACCTTAACAAGAACCAACTGGTTTTAATCCCTTCCTGTTGGCGTTTGACTTCTCTTTACGCTAAAGCTTCATTGGTTTAACGTTATTTTCTATTTGTTGTCTTTTTGAGGTGAAGTGAGCAAACAGAAAACAGTTTACTGTTTGCTACTGCTGAACCTTAATCTGACCTATAAAATAGATCAGAAGATTATATTTTGAAAAGTGTTTCTTCCACTTGAAGCTTTTACTGTGTAATTAATGACTTTTTTTATATTTATTTTTGTCTCATACTTTAAAGCACCAGCCTGTATGGAGAGAAATTTGTTCCAGTATTCTCAAAAGCAAAGAACATGTTTGATGCATTATAAAAATAGAACTTTGAAAAACTAAATATTTTTTACTCTTTTTAAATGTTTTTGTAACAATATTTTTCAGATGTAACTTTTTTTTTTTTTGACACATTAAATTCTTTTTACCAATTTCACCCTCGGATCAATAGAGAAGCTGTTCCATCCAGAAGAATAGAGGCTGAAATCTGTAATACTGGATATAGAAAAGAATACAGTTCATAAAAAAAAAAAAAAAAAATTAGTTTCTGTTCAGATTCCATTTTGTTAAAGGTTTTATTTTTAACACATTTTATTTTTCAGATTTCCTTTTCCTCTCCGTTTTTCAGATTTCAGCCTCTCCACTTCTGGCTGGAACAGCGTTTCTATCGGACCAAACCATGCAGAAGTGTCGAGGGTGAAAACTGTAAAATAGGATTTAAAACTTGATTGATTTATTTAAAAAATAAAATCTAATTTTTGTTGCTTTTCCTTTTTTATTTTTTTCTTCAGATTTCCGTTTATAAACGTGTTCTTTGCTTTCACCATTAAAGGAAAAAACTGTAGGTTTACATTAGTGCTGCAACAAACAATTATTTTGTTAAATCAATTAATCTGTCATTTTTTTTTATTTTTTCTTATCAATTTTAATAATCGAATAGCCAAAGTTTCCTTAAAGAACAGTTTTTCTGAAATTAAACCAGGTGAAACTAAATATTTTCCACTTAAGGATTTCCTGATAGAGCACAAAGGAAAACATATTATTAATGTTTAATGCAAAAATACTTAATATATATATTTTTTTTCTACAATACTGCTCTAAGTTGGTTGCTCTTTCAGCTAAAGGCATGTTTTACAGTCTTTATTAATTGATTAATCAATAACTGCAGAATAAATTAATTGATGATTATTCTAATAATTGATTAATCCGATAAATTGTTTCAGCCTTTGTCTACCAATGTTCTCTTTAAGGCCGTGTGTTCCCAGGAATTAGTCTGTTCCTGACTGCAGCCAGTAAACGGTCGCATGTGAAATCCAAATATTTGGATATAAAGTGCATCTTGCTTTATTTACGAGGTCTTTGAGTGTTTCCTGCTGACCTGTTGGTTTTGTGGCTCCTTCTTTTCTCCCTCTTTTAACGCTGCGCACATGTAGTGGATATTTGGGCTGTGGGCTGCATTATGGCAGAAATGGTTCGCCACAAAATCCTTTTCCCTGGAAGGGATTGTATCCTTGAGCTGCTTGCAGCAGAAAGTTGGCACTAAGTCTTTCATGTCTACTTTCTTCCCCCCCTTCTGTCAAATTCAGCTATTAAAACTTCACTGCTTTGATTTTGTTTCGACGCTGCGACTTCCAGCCACCCACCTGCTGTCCCCGCAGATGCAGACGCCGCTATCCGCTCCAGGCGCAGTGACTGACACATGAAAGACCTGAACAGAATTTTAATAGTTTTGCTTTTCCTTCAGAGAGACTTTGAATGTTTTTAATGCCCTCTGTCTTCTCTCACTGCGGTTTTTATTGCTTCATCAGTGAAAACGGCTTCTTCAGTGATGTTTGCATGCATTCATTTCAGAATCTCGTGTCTTAAGAGTCAATAAGCATCAGAAACATGTTATCAAGCTAACTTTTCCAGGAGATAAATGCTGATTGGGACCCTGACCTGTGTAGTTGAATCCACAGAGCTGCATGCAGCCATTGTCTGCACCCTCACCTACATCATGTGTTTATGTCTGATTATCCCTTCTTTTTGTTTGGACCTGGTTTTGATGTTCAGTTTGCATGCTAATTGGGTGGTTGTCATTTCATTTTTCAGTTGATGTCTGGTCTGTTGGATGCATCATGGCTGAAATGGTCCGAGGTAGTGTGTTGTTTCCAGGCTCTGATCGTATCCTTAAGTTAAACCCCACCCCTTTATTCCCTGAACCTGTTGTTGTGTCTCTGTGTTTGTCTGACATCTTGTTCAAACCTTCTGCACACAAAGAAGACCTCTGCGTCTGTTGCGTTTCAATCAGGAATCCAAAACAGATGGAATACAGAGTTTATCTGTCGGCTTAACAGCTGATGTCATTAACAGTCCAATTGTCGGCTTGTTTTTTCTTGTTGCCATGTAGAGATTCAGGATCCAGAGATGCTTCAACCGTAGACGTTTTGGATTTAAAGATACACTGCAAATGTTTTAAAGTGGACTAACTATTGGCTAATGTGGAAAAAATTAGGTTTCTGCTAATAATATCGATGTTATTCCATTATTGTTGTGGCAAATTATTGTTTAAATGTAAATTTGACAAAAATGCAATCCAGAAATGAAACTTCTAATCAAAAAGGTTTTAAGAGAAACATTTCCATTTAATTATTTTTATTTTCTTTCTCAAATTGTATTCTCCAAAATATTTTGACAAATTTTATAGTTTCAATTTTAATTAAAACAATTCTTTTTCAGCTTTAGTTTAACTTTGAGGCGGGGCTTAAACTGCAGCTGCGAATCCATGGAAACACGACCAGTGTTTTGTCAGATGAGCATACCCGTTCAGACCAGCATACCCATAGTCAACTATCCCTTTAGTTATGTACCAAAAATAGACTTTAAACTACCTAAACGGGCATGTATCCCTTTAGTCATGTACAAAAAAACGATTTAATTACTTAGTTTTTTGAAGCATATGGTGATCTGACCTCAAATTGTTTTTTTGTTGAACATGACTAAAGGGATACGTGCCCGTTGAGATAGTTTAAAGTCTATTTTTCGTAGATAATGCAAATGTGATGTCTTATTCATGCGTATTGACTATAGGTATGCTGGTCTGACAGAACTCCGGTTCAGGGCGGATAGAAACTATAATAAAAAACTAAAGACGCCAAATATTAGTTGCTGTTTTAGTTGATTTTATTTCTAATCATTTAGCTTATCCAGCTGCTATCCTGCTACTCTTGGTTAGCTTTAGAAAGTTACCCGAGTAAATAAAGTGTTTGGTTATGTTATTATGTGTCTAATGGGGAAAAGATAAACAATTTTTTTTAAATAAATCAATCTAAACCAACTATTATTATTTTTTAGTTGTAACAAAAATTCTCATAATCACATTGCCAATGATTGATTAAGCCGTATTCGTATTTCACACACATGATAATCTTTTCGTTTATGGTAAAGGTTGAACAAAGATGTCAGCAAACTTTTCTGTCTGTTTTATGTTTCATTTGTATTTGTGCTGCTGTTTCATCAACGAAAGCAAACCCAGTGATTTCCTTTATTCCAGCATCTAGACCAATTAAAGGTGAGCTTCTCCAGCTGACACACAGGTTTAATCCCAGTGAATTTATCCTTATTTTCCTTTAACCCTTTATAAGGTGAGCTACTGTTTTGGGTCACTTGAATAACCCTTACAAAGCGAGCCCCGCCCCATCCGTCAGCGAGGTCCAGAAACACATGATTTCTATCCAGCCATTTAGCAAAGATATTACTACATCATTTTGGCATTTAACAAGTTAGCTGAGCCCTTGGATGATATGTTGCCTAATATTAATGTAGTTTAAAGAAGTTAATGCGTTCATTTCAAATGGTAAAACGTTAAGTTATAAAGTGAAAGTCTTCCAGACTGTTTTTCATTAATGTCTTATTGAATTTGTGGGGTTTTTCCGCATATTACAGCAAGTGATTATTACATAGATTTTTCACATCAGAATATTCCTATTTTTAAATATTGCAAAAGGTTTTTGCCCTGTCCTCCAACACTCAACTTAAAATTTTGATTTTCAAAGTATTTCACTGAGTACACTATAAAGGGTTAAAGAATAAAAAGGTTTAATGATAAGTTTTTTGTATTTTATCGGCGATCGTAGCAGAAAAACTGAAACTGATCCAAATATGCTGGAAATGAAATGTAGGACCAGCCTTACGTACTGATTTGAATCCAGACGGTTTCTCATCCATGCCTGTAGTTTTCTTAATGTTTTGAATAAAAGATATTGATCAGTGGAACAAGGTCATCGAGCAGCTGGGGACGCCGTCTCAGGAGTTCCTCATGAAGCTCAACCAGTCGGTGAGGACCTACGTGGAGAACCGGCCGCGTTACGCTGGCTACAGCTTTGAGAAGCTCTTCCCTGATGTCCTGTTTCCTGCAGACTCTGAACACAACAAGCTGAAAGGTGAGCTCCCTGTTCTCCTCCTTTAGCTGCTAATCTGTTCAACACAGTTAATCGACCGCAGGCTGCTCTGTCTATGGAGCCCAAATTAGTTTCAGCCACTACCTGTGTTCTGTCAGATAAACATACCCCATCGGACCAACATACCCATCGTCAATTTTCCATTTATCCCTTTAGTTTTCTATGAAAAATAGACTTTAAACTACCTGGACGGGCGTGTATCCCTTTGGTCTTGTACAAAAAAACAACAATTACTTCCTTTTTGGTGTTATTTGAAGCGTATGGCGATCTGACCTTAAAATGTTTATTTTTCTACATGACTAAAGACATTCACGCCAGTTGAGGTACTTTAAATTTATTTGGTTTGTAAAAAGCTAAAGGAATAAACGCAAATTTGACGTCTTGCACATGTATTGACTATGGGTATGCTGGTCTGATGGGGTATGCTCATCTGACAGAACGCCGGTTTTAAGAAAATATTTTTACCATCTTTTTCTTGACTTCCAGTCAAATTATTCAACCTATTCTAAGTAAGTTTTTGGTGACAATAATGTTATGTAATTATGAAAATATTTGCCTTTTCAAATTATTTGCCTCCAATAACATCCCTGTTTATCGGTTCCAGGCATGTTTACGTTCCTTTTACTGGGATTTAATCTCAGAAAAGGGATCTTTCATAAAGTAGCTTCTCATGCGTATCCCATGAGTGATCTATCAAAACTTTGTTTTCTTCTGTCATCCATCCATCCATTTTCCGTCATGCTTATCCCTGCTGGGGTCGCAAGGGCTGCTGATGCCCATCTCCAGCTGTCTACAGGCGACCTGTCTGACCTGGACAAACAGACATTCACACACACACATCTAATTGATATAATAACTGCTCTAAGTGGGTCGCTCTGTCAGCTAAAGGCATGTTTTACAGTCTATAATCCAGTTAATGATATAAATTTTTACACATTGAATTCCTTACAGTTAATTTTTATCTGGTGAAAATTCCACTGCAAGAAATTCAGCTGCAAGAAACATCCCCTCCAAAAAATTCCCCTGTGAAAAATTCAGCTGCAGAAAAATTTGCCTCCAAAAAATTTGATTGCAAATGTGTTGACCTTTTGGTAAATACATGTTGGTGTTTAGAATTTGATGTACAAAACCCAACCAAGTATTAGGGCCAGCCTAGAGAATTGTTTTTCTTCTATTTCCAGAATAAAGTCGTAACATTACGAGTATAAAGTCATTAAAATAAGACTAAAGTCACAGCGAGAATAGTCAGAGAATAGAAGCACTGTCTTCCCTAAAATGAGGAATGTAGAGCATCATGTGAAGGTATAATTTGGCATCGGATTGACAAATCAGGAAATCTTGTAGCAGCAGCATCAAACTGGGCAGGATGTCAAAGTGGACTCAGGTTGCTGATTGGTGGAGCTGGTCGGCCGTCATCTGCTGG